GGAGTCTTTGCTACGCAAGTTTAACTCGTTGCAGCTTTCGATTAAGCAGATTCTAAAGAACGACAAAGAATGAAAGTTACAATTGGTGATTTTTTGAATGCATGCCCTGCCTGAGTGGATGTTTGACCTTATTTTGAGATCAACTCGTCTGTTCAATATAACAAGTTTGTAAAACTGATACTCCTATTGAAGCAGATGTGGAACAGCTAAAATGATTCGTTCAAATTACGATTTATCAGGAGCTGAAATTCCAACAATGAGCTCGTAATCAACTCATAAGCATTTATTATCGGCTCAAAGGCAACAAAAGATGTGATTACCGAGGAGCGTATAACGTTTGGAGGGAATGGACAACTGTGCGGTTCAAAGAGAATTGCATATGGTACCCGAATGAAGGAAGAACAAATGAAGAAAGAATATAAAGATGGCGATTATGACACAAGTATTCGATGAACTCCTCCCAATAGGAACAACAAGATCGGTAGTTGAAAAGAAAGGGTACTCGACGATAGACGTATGGCACTGGCAGGAAGGCCATGCAAAAGGTCGACAACACGAATTTGCTTCACGGTCGATAATACAAGTTGAAAACGTAGCGCTTCATTGCGCGATATCGCATCGGCTAGCTGCTTCACATATAGTGAACAAACCTGAGTGAATTTTCGTCATTGCATGATTGAATTATAAAAGAAATCAAATCCAAAGTTTCCAAACATGTAATCATTTCCCCTTTCATTCATGATGTTCACAACATTTTGGGTACTGATTGTGAATATGATCAATCCACTGAAGCATCATTTGAACCACGATCATTGGGAGCAAACGGACTATTTGACAGATTTTAAGGTGATTTTAAACGGTCATTTAGATGAAAGTAACCTTTTCGGCTTGCCCGGTATGCCAACGTTTTACCGTTTCATTAAGGAGGCGATTGACACCAAACCATTCCATTTGAAATATTATATTGCCTTCAGATTTGAATTCATCCAAAAACATTATACGACACTGAACACCCTGCAATATTGGTTCATTCCTAACTCAGCTGTTTTCATTACATTTTCAGTTGTTCCCTTTAGACAATGGTCACTGACACAGTATACTTCTCTAAACTTTGCTTGAAATCATTTATTATGTATCCTTGAAAGGGAACAGGAGAAATTTACTAACAGTGAGCAGAAAATATGGATGGATCTTGTTCGGATATGAACAACGAGATCTGACCGACCTGTGGCATAATACGTTCCAGAGCGATCTGTAAACGACTTCCAATATCATGCGCAACGAAACTGTCCTCTGAGACGAACCCGGAGCGTTCGAGTGCATTCTTTGGTACAGTCTCTTTCAACATCGCAACCTCGTCCAGTGAGTAGCCAACCAACAGATAGATTCCTATAAAAAGATTTATAGATTCCATTTATAGATAATTATAAAACGATAGATAATTTATCTATTCATAGATAATCCTTTAAATGATTGATGCAGATAATTTATAGATACAGATAATTTAGATTAGATAATCCATAAAAGATTTCAAGATTTATCGATAATTAATAATCTAAGATTTATTGATAATCCATAAAATGATTTATAGATTCAACAAAATATAGATTCCATTTATAGATTTCATAGTTGAAGTATCGTTTGTTTTC